TAAAAAGGTAGATAGAATGGTGTTTACACCATTTGTGAACACAGGCTGATCTTTTTCCTGGTTGTCCTTCTACAAGGATGTATTTTCTCCTTACTCCATTGCCTAGCACCTCTGACACAGTGTTGAAAAGAGTGGCACGAGAAATTTGGGGGCATACTTCCAGTTTTAAAGAATTATGTCTAAAGAGTCACCATTAAAAGTGAAATTTGTTTTAGTTTTTCTTGATTATTAATTTCAATAATGCTTTTTTGTTTTTGAGTTGTGAATGACTCTATCTATATATCTTTTATATTAAAAGGGATGAGGGCTAGGCTGGTCCAGTGCAGGGCTCAAGCAGCTGGCCTCATGTGTCCGGAGGGTGGTGCCGGCGGTTCCGGGGCTTTTTCTGGTCCTGGGGTTCAGGAGGCCTGAGGGCTCCTGGGGCCTCTCTGGGACTGGGGGGTACATGACGCCAGTAACCCTGACAGTACTGGTGGATGAGGCCCACTTCGGGCTGGGCCAGCAGCTGGGCCAGCTCCTGGTAAGAAGGTGTGGGGGGACCCGTGCCAGGAGGTGGTGGGGCGCTCACAGCCAGCAGGGGGAAGAGGGCAGCATGGACAGCATCCCGGCCCAGTATGTGCAGCTGTACCCGCGTGACGACGTGCTTGAAGTTGTTCTCAGTGGCCGTGCAGGAGTAGAGGCCGCGATCACTAAGCTGCAGGGCGCGAAGCAACAAGCCCTGCTCTGTGCGCAGGAAGCGCTCCTCTGCTCGGATCTGCAGGGGCAGGGGTGGGGGCTCAGGGGCTGTGTGACCCCTCTGCTGCCCCCGCTAGCAGCCAGATGAGACCACTTCCGTGGGGTACCACAAGTAGAATTCATATACCCTCCCAAAAAACCCCACAAGCGTTTCCACTAATGAGGTAACGGAATAAGGTATCCACACATTTCTACTTCAAGATGGATGGCCCAGAAGGGTGCTGTTCAATGAATGAGAGAATTTTGGCACACAAAGAATTTTCATTTAATGAGAACACCCAATTGTGGTCCCACATAGACTTTCCATGTAAAGGGGCACCTGTAAGGCTTTTCCACAAATGAGGGCTAGCCACAGAATTTTCATCCACTGAAGCTTAACTACGTGATATCCCATATAAGGAATGCACTCCAGTGGGGTGCACATGTGGGATTTGGGGATTTTCATGAAGAGACACACCCATGAATGGTTTCCATATGGCAAAGCCTATTCCACAGAGTTTCTAACTAATTCCACTCAAGTGATTTCCACATACAGAAGGGAGCTTGAAAGATGTCAGAGTGAGGATGGCCCCATGCCTTCACTGCCTTCGCCCACACTGAATTTCCACCATACCAGGGTCTCCTGTGTCCACAGCAGGGTGCAGGAACTCACCTCTCGGCGCCTGTCACCAGGATCTCGCTGGAAGAGCCACTTAACAGTGGCTTGCGGTGAGCGGGGCTGGCACTCAAGGAAGGCTGTGCTGCCTGCCACACCATACTGCACCGACTCTACAGCGTTCTTGTTGGCTGCGGATCAGGAGGGCACTGAGTGGAAGCAACAACACCTGGGACGGTCCCCTGTCTGGTGAGGGGCAGGCACAAGGGGCACTCACCCACAAAGGCAGAATGTTGCCACTGGGCATCACCCCTGAGGGAGGCCAGGAACAACGCAAATAAAACTTCAGGAGCCATTACTCCCCACCCAGCATCTTCAAGGCCTTAGAGTTGGGGTGATATGAGCAGTGGCATGGGCTACCTGGGGTACCACAGAAGTTTGAGGAGCAGCAGAAAAAGGCAGAGTACACTCACCATTGGAGTTGAACCCACGGCACTGCCTGATGGGGTTCCCATGTCGGACGTCCTGCCGGCGGCTCCGCCTGGGTGACAACAACTTCTGAAGACATACTCCCAAGAAGTATGCCCCAGGTCCCTGCACCTCCAAGAATCCCCAGAGTGGTGATACCCGTAGAAAACCCCACATCATATTATATCCACTTTCAACCCCCCAGAACAGGGCTCAAAACCCCAAGGGCCTGGGTTCATACCTTTATTTTTTCTGTGCTGGGGTTTGAACCTAGGGCCTTG